TAGTACATCAACTCTAGAATATTCCGCTTTTCGTGTAAACTCTCATATAAATATACGCTATTTTTGTACAAAGGATATCATGTTCAGTTTCTAAATAAACATTTAAAATCATATCAAATTGACACCAAAGCGTTACAACTATAATGACTAGAGCCACATAACAACATATGTATGATGAAACAGTTAAAACAGAATGACCTTTAACTTAGGGAATGAACGTATTCACTTCCTAATAGAACGCTGAACCACAACTTAAATTTAAAAGATAAGTCATAATTTATTCATTTATTCTATAATTTGATTATTCATGGGCTCAAAACGTGCAGATACAGGTCGCTTGACTCTCACGCCGGCTCATGTCAAAAGCATGTTTGTGTCCGTGCTTCAAGCAGATCAAGCAGCTCAAAATGAAGTACGTAAAGTCTTGGATGACAACGACAGTGATATTGTTCAGAACGCGGAGAAGATCGTTGATGTGATGAATGAAAAACTGGCTACAAAATTTTCTGGAACAATTAGATCTTATTTCTATCAAATTGTAGGCTGATTGAGAGCTTCATTCGATAAACGCTTAACAACCATATCTAGAAATAGTACATATGCATGCATATATCAGAAAGTTTTCAAATCCGTTGGAACTCATACAATGTCACCGTCAAAACCATCTTCATAGTTTGCCTCTTTAGATTCCATACAGTCAACGTTAAAAGAAGAGAAAAAGGTTTCTAGATTTCTGACATCCTGGGTCTGATAAACACATTAAAAGAAAACTATTGTTGAGCACATCATGACGTATGAAGAAAAGGCTCCATTCCCTCAACGAACATCAGGTTTCCCCCAATTCTTCATATCTGTTTTTCAAACATTTCCTTACACTATCGAGGCCCATATTTGAGATGGACCTTCTGGACTATTGAACCTGCCAGGCGGATGATGATTATTTTGTGTTTGCTTAGCTCAAACTAGAAACTATTGTTTTAGCCAAATTTTAAAATCTAATTTGAGCTGCAAATACATGAAACTAATTGATTATGAATATAATCATGCTAGAATATGAGTTAATCTAAACTTTTTTATTTTCCAACAAATCGAGCTAGCTCATTACATGTTGGTTGAAGTTGAACAAATGTGAGAATAATAACAACAGGAAAAAGAACAACAAGTAAAAAATGAAAGAAACAAGCAAAGTAATGTAAAGTTAAAAAAGAATTTATCATATCAAGGGAAACGTTTTTCTTTTGTTTCAGGAATCTGCTAGGAGTACAGTTCTACTTTGGTGAGAAAGGAAGGGTCCCATATCATTGGGTCCGGCAAAAACGTTCTGCATCCTTTAAAAATTTTAAAACAGAAAGGTATAGGATTTTAATTTTATCTTTTACGAGAGAGAGCATGTCGCTGTCTTTAAAAAGTAAATGATCTATTGTTATGTCGGTTATTTGTAGTATAGTTTTGAAATCTTTGTTGAACTTCCAGGTATAGGCATCGTCAATCGACGTTTGAGCGATCGACATTTGAGCGAC